GCACTTAATATATATAATTCTCTTTGTGGCAAACCTCAAAACTGTAAGATTAAACAATAATAATAAAGGTCATAGGTAGTATCTAACAAACTGGCAGATCAGTGTGTCAGTTGTGTTTGAAAAATTTTTGTTCGTCAGTATTTTTTCATGCTTTGGAGGAGACTGACCAATGTTTTATTTCCTTAAATCTGTTTCATTGTTCGCTTTCATGTTTTAGTAGAGAGAGCATAAATAGAAAGTGAAAACTTTGTACAGTGTTAACCACCTACATATTACACAAATTATTACAGAAATCTGTATTTCACAGAAATTCTGTAGTTCTGCCTGTGTGCTTGAGAAATAATTAGAAATTTTCCATTAAATAACTTTTATTTCAGAATGTACATACTACAAGAAATTCAGACAGTACAAAAAAGTATTTAAGCAAAAAACATTTCATTCTTTTTTTGTTAGGCCCCTCAGCCCTTTCAGAGAAAGCCACTGTTAATATTTTATGACTTTGATAAAGGTTTTGTTCATACATGCTTAGCCAAGTTATTTCTTCATGTAAATTTTTCCAGCTTTGTTTTTTCCCAAAATAAGGTAATGACCTTTAAAAATTTCTTAAATGCTACTTCCTATTAGGAATTATGTTGAAATTTAATACTTAGTAAAGTCTGTCAGGTGTGGTGGCACATGCCTGCAGTTTCAGCACTTGTGAGGCTGAGGCAGGAAGATCAGTATAACAATATCCTGTCTCAAAAAAAAAATTTTTTTTTTTTTTTTTTTTACTGAGTTCTGATAGTTCTTCATAGAACTTGCCATATCTGCTTTATTGATCATCATATACAAGTTTATACTAACACTGCCAAGTATTGCACTGTATTGCATTATGGAGTTGAATCTGTACACTGAAGACTTCATCTGTGAATTAAAGTGTGATTAAAGCTCAACTTGCTGTATTGAGCTTTTGTGGTGTATGGCCATGGGTTGCTTAATGATAGGGATTCAGTCTAAGAAAGCTGTATTTTGGTAATTCCGAATCCTACAAAATCACTAGGTGATAAATCTTGTGGGATCACCATTATAATGCAGTGCATCCTTCACCAAAGTAATGTGGTGCCCCAACAGTAGTTAGCATAACAGGTTGAACTTTATTTTCTTGTAAATGATAAAGTAGTTATATTTTCAAGAGAAAAGTTTGCTTACATAATGAGGTCAATTTTAGGTTTATTCCACATTTTTTCTGCAAAGTGACATGTTTTCCTTTGTGCTCTTTCCTTTTTGCATTTCTTTTCAGGTGGTTGATGAAAACTACTTTTTTTTTTTGAACCAAAAGATGTCCATAGGGGCTGGCGAGATGGCTCAGTGGTCTAAAGCACCTACTTAGAACAAGCTTAGCAAAGCAAAGGGACCATGGTTCAATCCCCCAGCACCACATGCCAGCCAGGGCCGCCCCCTGGTGGACTGAGCTGGCCACACACACACACACACACACACACACACAAATAAATAAAATAAAATAAAAAAATCAGTTGCAAAAGATGTACATAAGTAAATAGTATTTTCTAAGCAGGTTTGTGGGTTTGGCAACATTTTGTTTAGACCAAATAGTGAATTGAATTTAATGTATATTTTTAAGTCCTTAAAGAGCATCTAAAATTTGGTTTAAATCTTTCCTTACAGAATAGCCAAGTACAACAAAATCAGAAATTTTGAGTACATAGGCTATTTGAATGGTGATGTTACCATTGGCTGGGTATGTGCTGAACACATTGCACATATTAACTCATTTAAATATATACACTATATTGCTTCATGATCATTTATTACTTTTTAAACTTGGGTAGTGCATATCTTAGGGTTTTAAAACTTTTTGAGGTGCTAAGATATTTTCCGAGATTTCCTTTTTCATTTCAGAGATTAATTCTGATCTTAATTCCTCTATACCTTTCTGCTGTTGTTTCTTCAGACACTATTAATTCATAGACTTTTTATTTCAGAGATTAATTCTGGTCTGAGTTCCTTTATACCTTTCTGCTATTGTTTCTTTACTTCAGATGCTGTTAATTCAGACATTTCAGCTGTGCTAGTGTTCTTTGTACTTGTTTTGAGTGAGCTCGGAACCTGAGATTGCATTTTGCTCCTTCTCTTTGTCATTTTGTGTAGTACTGTCCACTGACCTTTGGTGTAGAGCTTTGGTGCATTTGTAACCTTAGCACCTACTAAAATTCAGGTACCAATATACCAAGTTCTAGTTCATCCAGTTGTGCCTGGCTTGGATCTGGCTACGGTACTCAGCTCCTTCCTGCTGCTACCCTTGGAGGTGAGCCTGCTGAGCCCCCTCTGGCAAGATGTTGTGCTCCTGGATTAGCAGGACTGGGCTTTGGCGATTCTGGAGGGCTCCCAAGAGCATGGTGGAAGTTCTCACTCACAGGAAGGTCTTGGGCTGGCTCTGGAGGGCGGGGGAGGCCCGGAGAATGTGGGGGCGCAGCGGGCCTGGGCTTGGTCCAGTGGGCGCAGGACAGTGCAGAAGCTCGCTAAGATATTTTTTAAAGGAAAAGAAAATATATATTATTTGTTTTACAGACTTTTATAACATGGGAATTAAGGAAATGAGATAAACAGTTGACATAAAATGTTGGCAGAAAACATGCTAAATTTTTGCCACAAACAGTAATGAAAACTTTTTTTTTCTTAAAAAGATACTTTGTTTCTTGTTTTCTGTTTTCCAATTGGAACTTGGCAAGTAGAGGGAAAGTACCTGTTAGAGGAATCAAGTGGGTTTCATTTGCCATCTACAGGAAGATCAAAATGAGGTAGGTAATAGAAATGAGAAAAGGAGAGAAAAAAGGGTTGGACAGTTGGTATCCCTGTGGACAGCTCAGGAGTATTTGGTGGAGTCCTGGCTTCGGGTAGCTCTGGAAAGCATGAAAAAGCCAAGGGCGTTTAACCACCGCTTCTCACTACAACAAATCACTAGTTTTAGGCAATTTTAATTGTTAGAAAAATGTTTTTTTCACCACATGACTGTTAATTAATAGTTGTTGGATACTTGGAAGAGCAGAGGAAGTAATTGCCTTTGTACGTATTATTACAGTCCTTATAATAGAAATTAAGTGCTTTAGGATGCTCAGATATGTGAAAGATAGCTGAGTCATGTCCTTTGAAATTCTTGGAGTTTGAAGAACAGGATGTGCAGTTTATATACTAATTTTGGAGCAGTGTATGGCAAAGTCGGCTTTTTTCTATTTTGTAAACAATGCATTCAAAGTTGAAAGCAAAGAACAAAAAGCTTCCTTTGTTTGCGGCCCATATTCTCATACATTTTTCTGAAATTGCCAGTATACTGCAACCAAAGCCTTCATTTTTTGTTTTTCAGACATTATTGATACTGTTTTTATATGAAAAGCTTTAAGGAAACTGATACAATTTTCTTATATTAAGAGGACAATCATACAGCTAAAACATATCTTCATCTTTGTTTTTATATGGTTTGATACAAATTGAGAAAGATGGAATATTTTAAATAAAGGACATATGTCGAGAAAAGCTTATGACTAGATAGATTTGAAACAGAATTAAGTGGCAGTAATAAAAGCCACTCGCCAGCTGAATCCTAAAGGGAAATAAGAGTACTATATAATAACAGAGCTCCAGTTTCCAAAACAAGTCTTTCCAGGACGTGGTACTGCTTACCAAGAAAAATGGTAAAAACATTATGAGTACACATGGCTTTTCTTATAAACCATAAAAACTGATGCACTTTAGAACCAATGTTATAATGCTAGATGTGCAGCCCATTTATTTAAAAGTTTAACATACAAGTTTCTTATAAAAAAAGGGGGGGGGCCGGGGAGATGGCTCAGTGGAATAAGCACTTCCCTAGCAAGCACAAGGGTCTGAGTTCAAGCTCCAGTTCCGCCAAAAAAAAAAAAAAAAAGTTGACTATGCAAGAAATTCGAGGGGGCCAGGGAGGTGGCTAAGTGGAATAAACGCTTCCCTGACAAGTGCAAGGGCCTGAGTTCAATCCCTGGCTCTGCCAAAAAAAAGAAAGAAAGACAAAAAATCCTGAGTTATCCTGAACTAGTTCTGAATGTAGTGTTTGTGTTTCTATCCTGAAATTGTTTCTTA